TAAGCCGCAGGCGTCGAAAAATGGGGAAAAAGGCGCGGCTTATAGTCCAAAAATTACGGTAAATAACCCTGTGTCTCTCTGACTCTCTCTCCCCTGTCAGGTGTTTAAGCCTCGCACGCCCCCCGAGGCCATCGCTCTGTGCTCCCGGCTGCTGGAGTACACGCCGGTGACCCGGCTGTCTCCGCTGGAGGCGTGTTCGCACGCCTTCTTCGACGAGCTCCGTCAGCCCAACACCCGCCTGCCCAGCGGGCGAGAACTGCCGCTCCTCTTCAACTTCAGTCCCGTCGGTCAGTTCACCCCTCCTCCTCTCCTCATCTCCTCTCCTCCTCTCCTCATCTCCTCTCCTCTCCCACCCCTCCCACGTCACTCTCCTCTCATCTCCTCTCCTCTCCTCATCTCCTCGTCTCCTCTCATCTCATCTCCTCTCCCACCCCTCCCACGTCACTCTCCTCTCATCTCCTCTCCTCATCTCATCTCCTCATCTCCTCTCCTCCTCATCTCATCTCCTCTCCCCCCCCTCCCACGTCACTCTGCTTCTGTTTCAGCTCCTCTGAGTGTCTTGGATGTTGTCCTAAAGGGCTGCAAAATGAATTGGAATCTAATTCAAATTGCAGTAACGACTAGTGAACTATTCAAATCGCAGGAAGCATCAGATAATATATTATTCATCCAGAGTTACAAAAATGCAATATCATAATAAAACTGTACGCTAACAGTGCAGTAAAAAGAGCAATTCAATAACTTCCGGAAACATAGATGGTCACATCATTAATCTAAATAACAGTTACATTAAAATAATATTTGTTAAAGGGTAAATGTGTTCAAATGGAGTAAATGATCATGGTTTTGCCGGGAGGCTTACCTAACAGACATTTGTTTGGTTACGATCTGTCCTTAAAACAAATCACACAATGATCGTTTTAATATAGTCTCCCTTGCCGATGCACTCTCCGTCAAAGTAGTCGCAATTTGTCGTTTCTTTCCCAAATCATGCAGCCCTGTTGTCCTCTAAAGGCCTTCACTCAATCTAAAGACCTTCACGCAGTGTCTCACTGCACCCAAAGTGTTTTCTGTGTCATTAAAGCTGCCTCTCTCTCCTCAGAGCTGTCTATCCAGCCCCAGCTGAACTCCACACTCATTCCTCCTCACGCTCGTGCACAGACATCGCCTGCCTCACATGGTATGTATCTCAATTCAATATTACACTCTTAGGTGTTATCTATCTATACCAGGGGGGTCAAACTCAAATACACAGTGGGCCAAAATAAAAAAATGTGTACTAGTCGAGGGCCGGACTGGTTCAATGTTTAATTCAAAACGTATTGAAATGAACTTATTGCACATATTAAACCTGGAACTAACAAAGCTTAAATTATTGCCTATAAAAACAACATTAAACATTAAATAATCAGTTGCATTCATTTCTTATGGCTCTATCTGCAGAGTCATTTCTTATGATTACATTTTCCCACAGGCCAACAACAGCTTCAAAAAAACTATTTCCCTCAAAGAACAAACCAAACATGCCCTGTTGTCTCAAGAAACAAAGTGCAGAAGGAAACATCCATTAAACTCAGTGTGCTGCTCTGTGATGCTAGTTCAGATACTTGGCATCTCATCTTGGGTGCAAGTTCATCAATGTTTGGGCTCAGGCTCTGAGCTGAGGAGACCCTCAGGATGGAGTGAAGGTGTGCGTGCAATATACCGGCGGGCCAGATCTAATAGTAATTAGAAATTATCCTGCGGGCCGAAATTAAATCCACCAAGGGCCTGATTTGGCCCCCGGGCCTTGAGTTTGACACATGTGATCTACACAGTTATTCATGTGTATATTGTCCATTAAGCACATTGATACTGCAAAATAATTCTAAGTAGGGCTGGGTGATAAGTGATAAGACATTTTGTATATTGTAATATTCAATGTGTCTTTTCTTTCTGTTATTTAAAGCTGGACTGCATTACAGTTAAATAATGTGATGTTATTGATATAAACAGTAATATAGAAATGGACACTATGAAAACACTAGAGACAGTTATTGAAACTTATATGATCAAATATGAGTTATAAATATTGTGATATGTAATTGTCTCCAAGCCCCATTTACAAGTAACCCTTTGTTCCATTTGAAAACTATAGCAACTAGTGTGAGAATCAAAATATTGGCCCACATTCATGGACTATATAATCCTCCGGAAAAACTGCTTAACCGCCGTCTGAACTTCAGCCCATTTGTAAACCCGACAGAGTAGGCTTTGCTACTTTAATAAAGATAACCTGAAATACTTTTATTTATATTTGTAGACGTACATAATGTCATGATAGGCAGTAAAGTATCCTATATGAACGGTGTGTTCTGTTTCTGACCCTGCTGTCCCTCTCTCCCCCTGCAGAGGGCGGTGTGTCAGACAGTACCGCCCAGCCCAGCTCAGCACCCGGATCCATCAACAACAGCACCTGAGCACCTCCCCCCTCCCATCCTTTTATTTTCGTCTTCCCCCCATCTTCCCCTTTCTCTCCTCTGCTCTTCTTCCTCTCAACCTTCCTCCTGGCTCCAAAACCCCTCTTTAAAAATAGAAATAACTTCACACACACTCAGCAGTGCTATTGTCCCTGACTCTTTAACCATTTCCAATAGAAAGCAATCTCTGTGGCTGCTAGCTTCTGGAAGGTGTGGGCTTTTTTAAGGATATTTGGGGAGCCAAGCGTGGGTTTAAAATACGCTGAGGCTCATCCGTTAGAATAAATCAACTCGACATTGGTTGGGTTTATTGGGATAAAAAGGACGGGGGGGTTGTACATGTTATGTGGATTTTCTCTGTATTATAACTGACTTTTATCCCTTTTTATGTTAATTTTTATTTGCATTGGTGTATTTTATGTGTGGCCGTGGTGCCATTAAATGGGGTCCTGATTGGCTTTTGAGTTGAAAGGTCGTGTGAGAGGCCTGACTAATAATGACAATCATCTTTAGTGGGGTCATAAATGGCACGCACGTAGTGTACACACTTGATTATAAGACCCACTGTGTAGCCTGGAGGCTCTTTCTACCTTCAATTTACTCAAGTATTGTCAGTTCATCCAGCGGCACGGGGACCACGTGGAGACTTTTTTTTTTTTAATCTTCAACTTTGACCCCAGAATATATTGGCTGATTTTAGAGTTGGTTTTACATTTTATTCAAAAAGAAATGCACCACAGCCTGTCTTTTTAAAAAGTTTCCTTTTGAATATTAGCTCCTCGACTGCCTTTTATGTGAATGAGAGGGAGTAGAGTGCATCGTTTCTTCGCGATAAGCTCATGTGTTCATCGATTAAGCTACAAGCTTCTCTTATTGCATCTCCAAAAGGGAGCAGAGCGGAAGCAAAGGGGTGAGTTGTGTTAGTCCAGCTGTTATCATAACGTCACACACAGGTTGGATGTGGGGCTCCAGTTGCATCTAATACAGAAGCCTCACATGTCATAAACACCACCTCGTTAATCATGTCACTTTGTGGTTTGTTATGGGCTTGATTGTGTTGATCAGGCTCAAGAGAGAGACTCCGGACACCTTCCCCGCTCACCTGGCTCCTCATTTCACACAGTTGTTTCCGTGCAGGAGGAGGACTGAATTTGGTTTGTCAGACCGACTGGCTGAAAACCCTCTTCCCAAACAGTGCAACGCTTCTATCATGTTCTTCTCGTCCCTCTGTGGTGTTAGTCGGAACTGATGGTGAATGATTTGCGCCGTCGGCAGTTGTCTTTCAGACGTGCATGTTCAGCCCACACTATATTGCTTCCACTAATCTCAGTAATAATCCGACCGATGCTCAAACCCTGAAACCCGGCGTCTTTTTGGAGCCTCCCCTTCCTCCTCCTCCTCCTCCTCCTCCTCCCTTCTGCTTCCCTCTTTCCTCCTCCTTTTTTCACTGCTAAACTGTAAATATCAAGTACCTTTTATTTTGTTATTTTTATTGTTATTATATTGTTGTCCTTGTAATTTTTTTCCTCTAGTAGACCGGCGCAGCAGCGTCCGGACTGTTTATCCTCAGTCGCAGTCTGTAAATACGATTTCATTTCAGTCCCTGGTTCAGGAGGGGAAACACAGAACAAAATGTTTCATTTTTACTCTCTCTCCCTCCATTTCTCTTTTCACCACTTTCCCTTTCCCCCTATAAATGTTGTCATAACTGTTTTATTTATTGTATTGTGTTGTTTTTTTTGGGCGGGGTGGGGGATTCGTTTCCACTGCAGTGGTACAATTGAGGTTTTTCTTTTTTTTTTATTCCAAATTTGAGTCCAACTATGTCACATGCAAAACGATTTCACATCCAAGATACTGTACAGAGATCCGGACGTTGGTGTGTGTGCTTTCCAATCAGTGCTGTCGTGTGTATGCACATAAGAGCCAACACGTGGAACTCCTGTTTTTTCATTTAACTTCAATGTGAAGGGAATGTTACAAGCCTCTGGATCTACAGGGTCGTGGTGTTGAGGGAGCACGGATAACCCTGTGTGAGTGTGTGTGTATGTGTGTGTGTGTGTGTGTGTGTGAGAGAGAGTGTGAGAGAGAGTGAGTGTGTGTGTCTGGAGGAAAGGGGAAATAATGAATCTGTCCATTGACATGTATCATCTCCTGTGTCCGACCGTCTCCTGTTTCGCTTACTGTGTTTAGTATGAGTGTACAGGTGTTAGGATGTGTGTATTCTTCACAGATGCTTTGTGTGTGTGTGTGTGTGTGTGTGTGTGTAGACCATTGACATTATTCTAAGTACTCCTGACTTTTTTTCCTAAAAATGAAGAGCTCATTAAATGTGCTATTTTTAATGTTTTTTTCTTCCATCTTCTGATCTGTCACACTTTGTTTTTAATTTGCTGTGGCCCTGCGCTTTTATCTCTCGTCTGAGGGTAAATGTCAAAGTTGGTAAACGGAACGGTTGGATAAAGGAGATGATGAAAAGAGAGGGATGGAGGGAGAGAGACAGTTTTTGTTTGTTGGTATAAATAATTAAACTCATTAATAAAGTGATGAAACAGTTCCTGTCTCACATTCGTTATTCAATTATATATATTTTTTAAAACTGTTAAGGAACACGAACATGGGGGATACAAGGCCCTCTCAAGTATATAGTCAAATCATGCCATAGCATTTGTTGGCCAAATAAGTGAAAGTACCATTAAAGTAGAACTGCCACTACTCTTTGATTAGCTGATCGTAAAAAACTAATTATAATCAGCCTTTTCAATAAAAAATGTTTCATAAAAGCAGTTTTTCGCCTCGTAAAGGTGGGGTAGGTAATTCACTTCAGAAACACTTTTTGTTATATTCCATGGAATGCTCTTAACATCCCGTCCCGATAGCAATGAATATATTAAATGCTTTGACAATAAATCTATTTAAAAAAAATGTCATCTGTGGAAGCCGTGGTACTGTAGAAAGCACGACCAATCATCTGAGCCGGGCCGGCTAAAATAACTGGATGGCCTACCTGCCTGGGGGAT